AAGATGAAATTAATATTTAAGGAGTAATATTTGGTTGTATTAAATATTGATTTTAAATAACGAAAAGTAATTACTGAGATTATTGGTAATTTAAGTTAATAAGTTTTAATAATTATATTTGCACTATATTTGGACTATTGTTCTCATCTTTGTTGTTGTTATCGCAACGTTTCAGCCGTTGTTCCCCCTGGCCTTCTTCAAGTATATATCGATCTGGTAAGCTATAGGGAATTCTGAACTTAACCATTTATTTAATCTTCGGGGGACATACTGTTCTCATGTCCATGGATATCTCGTCTAATTCTTATTTTTATTTAGTATTGCTTAGTTATTGCTGCTCCTGTTTCCACTCAGTCCAAGTACACACTGCCTAACCCAGGGATTGAACTCACAATCACTATGTCACTAAATTCACAAACCGGGACAATGGACTCGTGGTTGGTTTGTTAATTTGGCGACACAGTAGTTGTGAGTTCAATCTCTGAGTCGGGCAGTGTGTATCTGCACCCCGTGGAGACGGTCAAACAACAACTGAGCACTAATAAAAATAAGGACTAGACGAAATATTGTTTGAAAATGGTAAGAGAACAGCCTAGTCCGGTAGATTAAATAAACAGCTCTGTTCAAAATTCCCTGTAGGTTACCCAGATCGATATACTCCTGATGAGTGCCAGTGAGCACAACGGCCGAAACGTTGTGATAACAACAACAACAAAAAAAAAAAAGAGGAGGATAATAGTCCGAATATAGTGTAAATAATGATAACTCCTCATCTCAGTAATTCAGACAAAAATTAATAACTTTAATGTTATCTAAATGATATAGAAACATTTTTATGAGGAGTATTCTGGATTTGACTTAAGTTTTACCGTTAAGAATAGTAAACATAAAATGAATTTTTTTAACTTTAAATTAGTTTCAAAATAATTACTGCACCCTCCTACTATTTTCATCATTAGTAAAAATACTTAAAAAAAATGATTATATTTAAAGTAAATAATATATATTTTCCATTTAATTGCCAAGATTAAACATTTAACATGATAAATTTCGAATAATATTTTTATTACACTTAAAGCCCAAATTAAAAGTTATTTAAAAAAAATTAATTGCTAAAATTAAACGTTTTAAATGCTTCATTTCAAATAACAAATTTTATTTTATTTAAAATAAAAAGAAGATTGCATTAAATTTAATAGCTAAGATTAACCATTTTAAAATACGAAATTTGAAATATATGTTTTACTATTTTTAAAGCAAATAATAAAATATTGTTTTCCACTTAATCGAGAAGATTAAACATTATTAAATGCTTAATTCCAAATAATATTTTTAAATTGATTTAAAGTAAAAATTAGATTGTTTTGTATTTAACAGGCATGTTTAAATATTTCAAAATGCTTAATTTCAAATAATATTTTTAAAGCATACAATAAAATATTGTTTTCCATTTAATAACTAAGATTAAACATTTTAAAAATGCTTAATTTCAAATAATTTTTGCTATACTTAAAGAAACAATAGTAGAGAGTTTTTCGTTTAATCGCTAAGGTTAAAATTTTTAAAAATGCTTAAATTTAAATAATTATGTTTAAAATAATCGTCGTTTGTAAGAAAGACATTCTATTTAATTGCTGCAATAAATATTTTGAGATAATAATTGATTTTTTTTTCACTCCCTTCAAAAATAGTCTTTTGAGCACAGATTCACTTAAATAACTACTACTTGAATATTTGTATGTCTCTTTTCTTCCTACAAATGTAAATTTAAAATTTATTCATAATGATTGAACGATATCGAATAGTACAAAAATATATAATTTAGTTTTTTTTTAATATAAATGTTAGTGCTGAATATTAGTTACCTAGTATGTAATAATAATAATAATAATAATAATAATGAGAATAATAATGATGATAATAATAAAACAAATTTATATTGCTATAGAAAACACATTGAAACTATAACTTTAATGAAATTTTAAACAATTAACCATTGCTAATTAATGATTTAATTTAAGCTAGAAAGCTGAACATAGTTTTCTATGTGTGAACCTAAACTTATTATTTTCAATATCGATTCTTTTGGCATAATGGTCGGAGAATAACGACCTGAGAGCTTGCGATAAAAATCAATAAGAGGAAAGAACTATTGGTTGAAAATTAATAAAGGCAATGCTTCAATCAGGAATTTTGACTATTTTGCTTATTTCAGATAATGACTTGTCAGTCATAAGAACGAATGTATTTAGCAGTAATGTTAACAAGTTTAAGAATTTCGATGAATCAATACGAATTATTATAAGTCATTCTATTCGGATTAGTATGCGCATCTTTGAAGTTAGACACACAACGTTTCGGCCATTGTAACCTGCGGTCTGTCATACTCAGAAATCTGCCAATTTGGAACTGAACGTTGTAATATAGGAGGCGGTTATCCCCCACCATCTTTGTCCTTTTACAGGACAAATTTACTAAGGTCCCTAGGGCCATTAGTGTACACGTGACAGCCAGTTGGTATAAATAAAACAGTTGCAGTTTAGCACATTAAAGAGGCAGATGTGACAGCTATATGAATTCTATGACCCTTTAAATAAGAACATAAAAGATATCACAAGGGATGTACCTCGTTCCTCTTAGGGGCATGACAAGTAAGAGCTTCTTTTCATTTGTTCTTTCACATTCTGCATGTTTTTTTTTTCATATGTGCTATAATTTACATGTGCCAGACATACAGTGACGATTGAAATAAATATATATATATATATATATATATATATATATATATAAACTCTGTATTTTGAATTTATACCCCAATAGTATATTACATTTATAATAATCTTGAACTTTGAATCTACATACAGTGTAGGTATTGTTCCCATGAGACCCAGAATTTAAAAGAAAAACAACCGTATTGAACAGATCATAACCTTTTGTACCTGATGATTGGGTAAACCATAAAAATATGAGTCGTACTGTAAACGTTGGTGTATATGTAATTATATATATATATATATATTAGAGAGAGAGAGAGAGAGGGGTTGTATATTTTTTTGTACCGGATGATTGGGAAAGACATTTTATAGCTGTGTTTTACTACAATGAGCACTGCTTTGTCTATGCCACTGATTAAATAAATAGTTCTTTTCTCACCTGTATGTGTACGTAATTGCTCACATATATGGTTGATTGTATCTCTTTTTTTAGATCATTTTTACATCTATCTATGTATATGTCTTACCATTATGTGGAAGGTCTATGTAGGAGGTATTTCTGTCGATGTATGTATGTATGTATTGCATTTTTGTATGACGTATATTTATGCTTCAATATTGTATTAAAAATATTTTCAGGAATAACTCATTTTTGAATTAATTTCTTTGGGCGATTTTAGTCAGTTGTGCTTATCACGGATAAACTAATACGTATAGTAGACCACGGGGGAAAGTGTCAAGGAACAAGATATTTCTTCTCTATTTTAACACACTCCATTACGAACACTTTATCCAATTCACAGAGGCAGACTGAATAAAGACTTGAAACGTTGTGAGTATAACATCAAAGATAAACATGACTGTTCAAACAGAAGGCGCCATAATAATAATTTCTCATATCAGTAATGCCGAAATAAATTAATAAAAACTGATTTAATGTTTTAATATTTATATTAACATTATTCTGTTTAATAACGATTTATTTAAGCTTGTGTCAGATAAATTAATATGTCCGAAAGGTTGCATTAATATTAGTAGATATATGCAGGAAATCCCCGTTGTTCAATAGTATAGTCATTTTTATTCCTCATGCAGAATTAACAAATATTAATTTACCATTAACCGTTCACTTATAAGAAATTTGCTATATTTTTTTTGTATGCATAGAAACATTTATTAGTAAGTAATTCTTTTAGGAATGCTTCTCCCTATTTTTTCAGTTTCAAGATAAACAACAACAAATTAACAGAAATTAAAACAAGAAAAAATAACCAAACAACAAAAAACATCGGATTGTAAAATTACACATTATGCTCCTTGATTTTCGTCCATTTTTAAAGTTTTTTTTTTTTTTTTTTTAAATTTAATTAATTTTTTTTTTTTGTAATGTCATTTCGAGTTTTAATCATTCTTGGATTGGTATGACATCGGTTTATTGATCCCTATAAAATTATTTAGACGGATGAAAAGAGATCGGTTATTTTCGTGATGCAATTCGCTTTATTTGATGACGTCATCGTTTCAGATAACGCGTTTCGTGTTTTCTTTCTAGTTTTCTCAGTAATTTTCATTTTAAAATTTAAATATTCATTTTCTTTTTTTTTTTTTTTTTAAGATTTGAAAATTTTTAAATATAGTTTCGAGATTTAGTTTTTCGTTTTCTTCTCTCAATTTAGTTTTTACCACCAATATTATTATGAATATTTTAATTATCGTTTTTATTTTTGAGTGACGTGTGCGTCTGTCAGGCTTATTGTAGTAGCTGAAAAGGATCGGGGTGGGTACATTGTATTTTATTTTTAATTTTTTTTTTTTTAAAGACGATGAGCTGAATATCATTTAAAAAGCAAAAAATAAAATTGAAAAAAAAAATCGAAAATCAATTAAAAATAATAGGAGAATCACAAGATTTAAATTTATCTCTCCTCTTTCAAGCATCATCAAGATAATATATTTTTTTTTGACTTGGTATCGATTTAATTTGTATTTTTTCTCTTTATCAGTTTTTAATAATATTAATCAAATATTTTTTTTTTACGAGATTTTTTTAATTTGTTTTCTGTTCCCTTTTTTATTTCATTTGGTGGACAAAGTTTATATTTTGTAAAAAAAAAAAAAAAAAAAAAAAAAAAAAAAAAAAAAAAAAGCCTTATTTACAGCAGCACCTGTTGCTGCCGCCGCCGCTGCTCGTGGAACCAGATTTTATCCCCTTGTCCACTTCTTAGAGGACTTCTTCGTCAAAATCCATGGATCCCTTGCTGAATGGGGAGACAGGTGGGGTCTCACCAAGACGCATTATCATTATCCCGGAATCAGAGCCTGATGAATCGTGGCGGTCTTTGCTATCCTGTAAAAATATGAAGGCAAAATATACTCATTAAAAACATACACGGGACATACAATTATTTCTATAGCTCTTCAATCATTGTATCTTATACAGACATACCCCGATTTTCAAAATGTTCATTTTACGCCACTTCCTTCGTTTTTATATTATGGGTATTTTATTAAGACATATTTTTCAGTTTTCCTAAATGGCATAAAACGAAGAAACAGTTACCATTAATCTATATGAGAACATTTTTTGGTCGTCACACGCACACACAATTAACAAGCAAAATTAAATGTTCACCCTATTTTTCCCTAATCTGAGTTTCTCGGATATGGTATCCACTTACCAGGAGCCTGAGAGTTTTTGTATCCTTAAAGAGGTTACAAACAGACCAAGGTGGTACTCAAGTGAAGGAACAACAACATGCGTGTAGATGAAAGAAGAGAGTTTTATTGTAAAAGAGAATACACTACTGAAAGACATGGAATCGGGTGGAAGGCTAGTAATTCCCGAAGCAATGATATTACCCCACGCGGTCAGATGTGGCACAAGGCCGAATTTAATGTGAGGTACTCGAGCCCGTATGCTCGGCCAAAAATTCCCCCTATAAAACGGGGCCGGGTAGGTGTTTCCCGAGACGAGACTCTGCCCTTCGTCATAGCCTCGTCCACCCGGAGGCAGTGAGTTTGACCAGCACATCTGGAGACGAATCTCCAACTAATTTCTGAAGCATGCCCCCCCCTCCCCAGGTATATTCTGTGCTCACTATAAACACCTGCCGATATAATCAGTCCACAGTAGGCGACATGGAGTGTGGGACATTCCATTACAGCAATAGTAAAATTGAATTTAATATTAAGACCTTTGACGTGTGAATACTATATTGGCGAAACTCCGATTAGGGAAAGCTAAGTTGAATATTTAATGTTATTTATCGCTATTAAAGATTTATCTTTTGATATTGAGCACTTCAGTTATAAAAAAAACAAAACAAAAAAAAAAACAAACAAAAAAAAAAACAGTCTGAACCACTCCAGTAAATACCTGACTCTTTTTGATCAGACCGAAAATGGAATATTGCTGCCATATATGGGCAAGAGTTGCCTAGTTTTAAATTTCCAGTCTCGATAGAGTTTAAAAGCATCTCCGCGTCCTTGTAGGTTATGAATTATTTTCCATTCTTCAACCCCCTTTACCACAGACGAAGCATCACAACTCTCTCACTGTTCTATTGCTATTTTTATGGAAAGTATTCAGGCGAACAACATTCTTTTGTTCCACCATTTTTAACGTTTACGCCTAAGACCCGCCATACCACGCCTATTGTCGCGAACCACCCTCATTCTCTCCGTATTCCATTGGTGAGATATAACTTCCATTCGAACAGCTTCTTCCCACAAACCACTGCTTTTTGGAACCGACGCCAAAGAGAATGATTCCCCGATGACTACAACCTTAAAGTGTTCAGGTCTAGGGTTTATCGTAATTTTCACCACATATCCCATAATCTGTGCCTCTTACATTATAACCCTTAACCTCGAGTGGCTCTTGAGCCTTATACAAGGTGAACCTTATTGCAAAAATACAATATAAAATATTCTATTCTTTTGGGAACTCAGAGTTGGTGTAATGGTTAACAAGTTTGTTTCGTTTTGCTACTGAATAAATACTCCATAATTGTGACCTTGTGCCGCATCTAATCTGTGCTTAGTAAGTCACTATAACGCTCTTGTAAATCAAAGGTCGATGTACGTATTCCACCGTTGTTCATGTAGAACGCTTGAAATATGACAGTGTAAATGACTGATTAGTTTATAAAAAATTCCGTAGGCATTTTAAACATTTTCCATACCTGTGGAAAACGTATGTGCCATTTTCAAATTCAAGTCATAGTTATCCGAAATCATTACAGTACCTTCAGTCGTAAAGTAAATCCTACACAAAATTATTTTGGGGTCTGGTAATGCTAAAACGTTTTCCGTTGTAAATTACTGCTAATTTCTTTTTTTCGTTGTACGCCATTTCAGGTTATGAAAGAATTCGAAGGCACTCACTATTTTCGGACAGCCGAAGAAGACTAGGAGAATTTTAAAGGATATATCGACAAGAAATGTTCATATATATATATATATATATATATATATATATATATATATATATATATATATATATATATGTGTGTGTGTGGTGCGATAGGTAAATTGTTGCCATTTTATATTTGTAATTTCACGCATGCGTGATGTTTGTTTTTGATTTTGTCGACTACATAGAATAGTAGGATCAGTTGGGAACTCTCTGTGAGAAGAGCACCATAACGCAATTTCACTCGGCCAGAAATTTGAAAACGGCATGCTGTACTGCTTGGCATTCGCGCCGGAACCTCCAATACGAACATTTCAGTGTGTTTTGTTGTCAGCCTGAAGACAATGCAGAGGATTCGGAAAGAGTTGGATGAAGCGATTATGAAGGTACGGCAGCTCGGAAAATTCACTCTGATCGTTCTGATAAGAACTCCCGACTCAACACGGAGACCTACATCAAGTGTCTTGAGGAGGTAGTGCTGCCCTGGATCAACAACATGTGTGCTGGAAGACCCATTGCCAGGAAACAGGACTCTGTACCATGCCACACAAGCAGGAGAACCTAGACATGGCTGACAGTTTTTGCAAGTATATCACACCTTACATCTGGCCACCTAGCTCCTCAGGCTGCAATCTCATACGAGGAAAGTTTGAAAAAAATGTATAAATCAACGTTATTGACTAAATGAAAAAAAAAAACGAAGAAAAAAAATCAGTTGCATCTGCGTTGAAATCCTAGCTACTGTCACTGGCACGAGTCTTACACAATACCATAAGTTAAAATCGAATCGAGAACATCGAAATATATGTAAGATAATTATGACAATGTATATTTGAGGTTGCAGCTATTCCCAATAGAAAGGGATATGATTCAACTCTAAAGCAGAAATCTCTTTTTATGCGTCATATTACTTCAGGACGTGGCCGATCATGGCTCTCCACAACTTATCTTTTGTGGCTCTTAGTAATGTTTCTCTTTTTATTATTCCTCCTACTCACCGCTCCGTCAGCGATCCGCATAAGCTCGTCAGGTGGAAGGCCCGCTACCCCGTGTCCCTTTTGCCTTTGCGGTATCCTGTAAATGTTTAATTTTTCAACTACCTTTTTTCATTATGTATCCCAGAAATTTCAGCTCACTCTGATTCTAAATGTGTCCTTTTCGTTTCCATTAAAAAAAAGAAGAAGCTGAAACGTAGATCAATCAATATATCCGTGATGTGGGCTTACGGTCATATCACGTTGAAACATTGCTTCTCGTACGATCACCAAAGTTAAGCAACGTCGATCCTGGTGAGAACCTAGATGGGTGACTGTTTGGAAATACCAGGTGCTGTAAGCTATGGGTAAAATAGCAGGACTAGGTCCACCTGCTGCCTTGTAGGTCCTGCCTGTTTCGGCAAAGACTAGAAGAAAACATCGAAAACAAATCTGCCTCTGCGAGGAGGTAAACGGTAACCTTAACATCCCTGGTGCAAAAGGAACTGGCAAGACATTGCACTACTCTGCCTTGAATGTCACTATGAACCCCAATGATAAGATGGAGGGGAGTGGTGACCACAGAGGCGGCGCAAAATACGCTAGCTGAATAAATGAATGATGAACATTCAGCCGTATGACGTAAGTAGCAATGGACACGTCATGACTGTCGTCACTTCCACCGAAAGGCGAGCTTAAAGGTTTGCATCGGGGTACTAAAAATTAGAACAGGTCTTGCCTCTTTAACTCAAGATGGACGAGGTAACCTCAACATCTCCGGTGCAAAAGAAACTTGCAGACCATTGCACTATTCTGCCGTAAATGTCTCCATGGAACACAATTTTAAGATGCAGGGGAGTGGTAACCACACAACGTCACAAAATGCGCTAAATGAAAAAAATGGAAATACCACGACACACTGGGTCCTATAACTATTAAATTATTCTGCCCTGAACCTCAATTGTGAGATGGAAGGGAATGGTGACTACAGCGGCGGCGCAAAATAAGCTAACTGAATAAATGAAAGATGAACATTCAGTCATATCCGTAAATAGCAACTGACACGTCATGATTGTCGTCACTTCCACCGAAAGGATCGATATGAAGGCGAACTTAAAGGTTCGCATCGGGGAACTAAAAATTAGAACAGGTTAATCGATTAATGCCAACCGAAAAATCAGAAGCACGTTTGAATAATGAGTACATGAATAGGAGAGCCGAGTTCGAATCCCACTCGAGTTCATTATATTGAGAGAAAACAGACAAAAACAGAAACTGTTTTTTTTTTTTGTTTTATGGAGGTAAATCGGGGCAGAAAAAAAGGAGTGGAGCCCCGAGGGTGGATAGATGTCAACACTGATAACTTCCCGGTAACTACTGCCGCCAAGCCGTCCCCAAATATAATGCCCTTTTGGATCTTGTCAATACGATCGAGATGAGGGGCTGTAGTCTGGGCAGCGTACAGTCTTCATATACTATCGCCAATCTAGGAGAAGGAAAATTTTGAATTTAAACCATTTGCTACCTTGTAGGTCTTGCCTCTTTAACTTAGGATGGACGAGGTAACCTCAACATCCCCGGTGCAAAAGGAACTAGCAAACCATTGCAACATTCTGCCTTGAATGTCACCATGAACAACAATTTTGAGATGGAGGGGTGTGGTGACCACAGCGGCGCAAAATGCGTTAACTGAATAAAATGATGAAAAAAAAAAGTAAGCTTGGATGTGCGAGTGGTGTTATGGTTAATGGCTCGGAATTTTTAATCGGAGAGACGAATTCTAATTCAAGTTGGGTTCGTTATATTCATTTACGCACTAATACCCTTGGAAAAGGTATGAATCAACCACTTCTCCAACTATGGGTTAATCAGACACTAAAATCATAATTATCTCAAAAAAAAAAAAAAAATCTTATAATCTAAAAATATTTTACGGCTTTAAATAACCGGTATATAAGCTGTCGAAAACGAATCAACCAGTCGTAGCCTAATGATAAAGAAGCATTTATTTTACTCAGAAAATATTTTTCAACATAATACCCTTCCTTGTTCATGTACTTTACGCTTTTCCATTAATTACACAGACCAAAATTATACAGTGAAAATTACAGATCAAAACCCCACTGATAACTGTGTCCTGCGATGGACTTATTGATCAACCTCAGAGCTGATATTATTTCTAATGCTGACCTCCCCCATCAATACTGGAAAGAGTCATAACAGTTACTGGATTTTTCCTTAAAAATTACTTTCATAGAAATATTTCATAAATTTGAACTGAAATTAGCAGTGGTTGATTGGTCAATGAATACCAAATGTTTCTTCATAAGGTGAGGGGAACAGGTACTACATGGTCAGTGGTGAAGAAAAGCCTAACTCGTGTAGCACTTGCTTTTCGGTCAATGGATGCCAAATGTTTCCTTATAAGGAAGCAGCTAAAATTACCATTACTTCTACCATTTGTAAAATATAGGCAGGACAATTCAAACAAAGTATACGATAATATGACAGTTCGAGATTTGATCAGACCTACTTTGAGTCGACTGCTACTGATCACTCTGGTGTAAATATGAAGATTTATTTTTACTCGCATTGTACCAGTTATTTTAGGGGTTCAATTTCAGTGACTTTTACTTCAACCGTTCTTATCTAGGTCCCGGAGATTCCAACATTGTGGCAGCACCTCACCACCAAAATTAAATTCAGACAGGACTAATCAAACAAAATATAATCTGACGGTTTGAAGTTCTCAAACATATTAAAGTTTTTTCTTACCTTGTCGACAAAATCTATGATTTCCAGGTTTACATTCCTCCCTCTTGCGATCCCAGGTTTCTTCACTTCCTTCCTATTTTTAATTGTCATCTCATATTTTTGTCGCCATTATGATCGGTGTGGTGTAACTCGGAATGAGAAATCGGAGAGTCGGGTTCGAATTCCAGTCGGGTCCATCACAATCATTTACGCACAAATACCCTTGGGAAAGGTCAGAACCCATCTGTCCCCACCCATCAGATATGGATGGAAAAGCAGGACAGACTATAGCCTTGGTTGGCAACTAGTCTATCGCAGAAAGAAATGGCAACAGACTGTGAGAAAATCTTCTGCCTCGTCAGTTATGAATCAAAAGAGACCCAAACGTGTATCGCTTATGACACTTACCTGACTGACTGAATTATGTTTTATACGCATGTGTGAAATACCTGACCCGCTTAAAATTCTTCTCTTTAGATTTGAAATTCAATCTGTGAGAACCAAATGTATTAAAACGTTCATCTTGCCGTACAGAGATACAATTGCGAGACAATATTTGCATATAAGTGTTTTTTTCTAAGTTTCAGGTTGCATTACCGTCTTTGCAATCTTAGTTCTTTAATTTGGGGTTATGGTAAGTGAGCTAGTGTACCAATGCATTACTACTAGATATTAAGTTTAATCCTTACTAATTTCTCGTACTTGTAATCCTATGCGAGACGAAGCTAACGATGTCAAACAGATATGGGCAACCTTTTTCGAGCAATGGGCCGCATGATCTATGGCTCGTCACAAGGCGGGCCGCACTACAAAAAATATTCAAGGTCATTTTTCGTAGTAGGTACCTCAGCCACTTTCACTACAGAAGACCATAAGCGTAAGCATATACCTTAGAAATAGTAGGGAATATAATTTACAATAAAAAAAAATGAAAACTTGATATAATATTATCCCCGATGGCAATGTGATTATCCCGTGTCGCTGGATGGGATTTATTTCTAATTTATTCATTTGAAAATGAAAACATTTCTTCCCTAAAGAAAATTTTTATAAATGTTTCCAGTTTCTGAAGCAAAAGATGTTTACACGTATGATCTTCCATAGTGTAAACTGCCAACGTTAATTTCCTGGAAAGATTACAAAATTCAAGAAACATTGTACTTAATCATTGTTTATGTATTTGGTGATGTATGAGAGAGTGTGTGAGTGAACAAGTGAGAACGAAACAAAAGAAAATTTTAAGGAACGTTATTTTCCTAATGAAATTAATCGTGCCATTCAGAAAGACCAAACGCGCCACATAGGGCCCGCGGGTCGCAGTTTGCCATGACTGGTGCAAGAGTTAGCCAGGCTAGTCCGGTTGACTGTAAGTACGGAATAAGTGAATAAGCAGGAAGTTAACATTATGAGGATACGGAGGATAGATAACGATTGACCCTAGATTTGATTGTAGTTATTGGAGAAATATTCGCGAGGGAGTCTGTTCTAAAAACTATTGGCTGTTGGTAGGAGGATGAGCAAGTGGAACTTCTTTCTTTAAAATGGAATACGGAAGAAGTGGGAGTGATTCGGCTCCGTGGACGTAGCCTGGAGGCTCTTAGTTGTAAAGGTTTGAACTGGTGGAACTAAAAAATGGAGCTCGTCTAGAATGCTTAATCTATATGAAAAAATGATTTTGAAAGAGGCATTTTTTATTTCTAGTCGCAGTACCCCTTATACAAATCCACCAAACAGAAAAAAAACGAGAAGTTGTGAAAAAACCAGAAGCTGTGATTAAACGGAAAACGAATCAAATATATTTCAAATTCAACAGATTATTAATTATGCTTAAAATAGACATCGTTTGTAGGAATGACATGCTATTTAATTGCTGTAATAAATATCATTCAAAAATAAATGGACCAGAGACAAAAAGAGTAATCAGAAATTCTATCAACTCGCTGATGTCGCCGTTAAGCAAGTCAAAACATCCGAGAACTGAACACGACGGAATTTAAAGTTGGCCATTAAACCCATAACCGTTAAAGAAATGGGTATAGGCCACCAATGCTTATAGGATGAGGTGAGATTGATGACTAAGGTATTTGGAGTTTTGATAACTCCTTCTTTCAGTCAGCCCCATTGAAAAGCAGATCACTATAGCATAAGCAGAGTACAATATTTTTACCCGCATTGTACCTGTCAGATTTTAGTAACTGCTCCTCTACATCAGAAGTGGTCACGTTTTTGGAGGTGGGAGGCTCTTTTCGTGTTCTTATCTAGGTACAGGAGATCCCAACATTGTGGCAGCACCTCACCACTGCACTAAAACAAAGGTTCCGGCGCTAGTTCTTCAGAGATATATCGTTGGCGAAAAAAATATTTTTCATTAATACTGACAAGAACACTGAAAACATTTAGGGGACTAATAAGGTAAGAGATCCCACTGGTGCACGATAAAACAATTAAGCCTTTGAGCCCTACGTTTCTGAACACTTTTAACCCTTTTGCCTGAGCTCCTGAGTCCAAATTCGCAAAATAATTGGTATGTGATGTTTCACGGTAGATATAAAAATAGTTACAAGTGTTTATCCACCGTTCAACCGGTAGCCGGGTATTAAGTCATTTT